GCCATATCCGTACTATCTCCTAAGAACATCAGTGTCGACAGACTCACAAGTGGGCTAGAGTCTGCACAGGCACAGAGGAGAGGCTGTGCATCTTCTGGGAGTCTCTTTCAACTTGAGTTTTTATACTTCTGTGAATAATTTCTGTGACTTAAATTAAGAAACACTTCTAAATGTTCCTTACAAGACCTGAATCTTCTTACTTCATGGAGATTTTACTTACAACAATCTAAGTCTTGCAAAGAGACTGGTGGAGATAGTTTTTATAATATTTACAGATAGCCCTTTGTGTAATCGTTTTGGGCAGATGAAAAGTCTAAGGATGTTCTAAAGGAAGTTAATCACTCAGATACTTTCATGTTATTGAAGGTTTCACATGTGGTACAACATTGATTTTCCTGTTTCAGTTATCATTTATCATCATACATTTACTGCTTCAGTATCCACCTTTTCATCTCAAATTTCTTCTGTGCAGTCATCATCTGGGATAAATTGATTTTATTCTACGTTCCCAGAAAGTCTTTTGGAGCTGTCTCATTTTGAAAGAGAAACAAGTATATTTTTAACATACATGTGTTCAGCATTACTCTTTTTAATCATAGATTCTTTAGGCTAATAAAAAGTAGTAAAGAGAATACAAACAGCCCAGAGAAAAAACAGAACCCTTCTGAAATCACCAATTGGGAGTTATCCAGACTGAACAGAACTTTGCATAATGTTGGGGCTGGATTTTGGAAAAACAGCATGAAAATGGTTTTCCATATTTTCTCAGACACATTTTATCACTTCATGGTATTTTTATTTTTTTTTCACTTACTATACTATACGTGAGACCTGAAACTTATTTTTTCCATGTCTTCCAAATATAAAAAGCACTGCTATAGCATAAATGTAAGGTATTCCTCTTCTTGAGTTTTCCTTTCATTTCAATACCCTTTCTTGATTTCAGATCTCCTTGATCTACTGCCCAAACCAGTTTGGAAACTTCTCTCTTTACTGGTTATTATTTCTTAAGCAACTTGTATTATTGAAAATTAATGTAGAATGCAGTCAGCCTACAATTACTTATCTTCACGAACAATATTGAAGAAGCAACATCTAATGTGGGTCACTAGCAAAAGAAACAACTTACAAAATAAAAGAGTATCTAGTTTGCTTGGTAAAACTATTTCAAGGGAACAGCAACTAAAATGTTGAAGTGTTATCGCTGTTCTGTGTTTGGGGTATTGAAAGCAGACATGGCAAATGCCTGACAACTGTGAAGGAAAGCCACTGTGAGCAGGAGCTTGGGAACTGTGGTTTTCAAATTCAGAGGAATCATTTAAATTCTTAATGGCAGCTCCTCTGATAAACAGAAAACAGTATTCTCTGAAGGATTGCCAGCTGTTTAGGACTCAATAATCAGGCTGGTATTTGGTCTGCCTTCTGGAGTTGCTTCTATCACAGATAGTGATGCTGGCAAGCAAAATAAAGAGGTTTTATGTCACAGGATACATGCTTGTACAAATTTCTTAAAAAGCCCCTCATAATTTTGGTTTGCAAAATGTCTGTTGGACACATATCTGTCTGTCCGTGTTAGCGGCCGGCCCAGCCTTAACTCGTGACAAGGCACTAGTGAGTTTGTCAAGCGTGAAAAACAATTTAGATTCACGTATGGATCACACTCCATTATTTCTGGAACTGTCACCATGTTACTCAGTTGTTTTCTTTAAATATTCAGAATTCTTTTGAAACTCAGTCAACAGAGATGGACAGAGTCTTTTTACCTCTTCATGTTTTCCTCTCTGTTTATTTCAGAATAGTGTGAATGGAACTGATAATTTATTGTCTGGTCAGGGGAACTTCAGTTGTACCATAAGGAGGCCATACAGACAGCATGAGTAGAGTTCATTTTGGCCTTTAATTGGACTACAGAGTAGAACAGGGATAAAAACTTCAATCATTACTCCTAAGTCAAACTCCCTCTGATTTTTGTTGAAAAGGGACTTGAACACGAATAGTGGAATTTAATCCCTGTTACTCAACATTATACTTTTTTGAGGCCTATGCACCCTTTCTGATTTAATTTCTACATTTTTGAAATACACACAACCATAAAATCCATTGGGTTGGAAGGGACCTTTAGAGGTCATCTAGTCCAACCTCCCTGAAATCAGCAGGGATATCTTTAACTAGATCAGGCTCTCTTTTGTTTTTCTTGTTCAGCAAGAATTTTCAGAGATCAGTTTTCACAATTGTTTCCATATTCAGAAAATATGATGTGCATGACTCTTTCCTTTCCTTTCCTTTCCTTTCCTTTCCTTTCCTTTCCTTTCCTTTCCTTTCCTTTCCTTTCCTTTCCTTTCCTTTTTTTTCCTATTCATATAGACATCCTGGAGACTTATTCTATTCATATACCACTTTTCCTTTCCTTTCCTTTCCTTTCCTTTCCTTTTCTTTCCTTTCCTTTCCTTTCCTTTCCTTTCCTTTCCTTTCCTTTCCTTTCCTTTCCTTTCCTTTCCTTTCCTTTCCTTTCCTTTCCTTTCCTTTCCTTTCCTTTCCTTTCCTTTCCTTCCCTTTCCTTTCCTTTCCTTTCCTTTCCTTTTTTTCCCTATTCATATAGACATCCTGGAGACTTATTCTGATTCACGACCACTTTCCAAGGTTACTCTGCTGACTGACAATGTATTACATTCAATCTATTTAAGAAATCTCTGAGTCAAGGCAGAGGAGAAAATCCTGTACCCAAGTCCTTTAAAAACCTCATTTGTAGCAGCTTACTACAGAAGACAAAGGGCATATTAAAAAGTGAATAAAGTTTAAATCTCAGGCCAGGGCTTGCTCTTCAAACTTTAAAGTTAGTGGCACACCAGTACTCATGTCTTTGTGGCTAGACTTTCTTCCACAACAAACTAACATGGACTTGCTCACAGTGCGTATTGGAAAAAAATCTCTGCTGCATGGGATCCCGCAGTTGTGTTCAGGAGTTGCTTGGCGAAAGTGCTACTCGGATCAGGCCAAAACTGTGCCAGGAAAATGCAGTCAATTAAATATACACAGGCAACTGTATGCAATTTCTTAAGTCCATGTCCTGATTCTGGTTTGTAGTTAACACTTAGGAGGTCTCAGGTCACAGTCCTCAGCAGAATTCCCAGACTGTTGGAAGGACAATGGTGGAGCCTTTCCCCAAAGTCCTTGGCTCTTCTTCTGCTCTGGGCATGTTACATGAACTTAGGACAGGCAAAAATCCCTTAAGTATTTTCACATTCCTGTAATGTCTTACTACAAATACAGTCTAGCTTCCTGAAACGAAACATGAAATTATCTCACTATTTTGCCATTCATAAAACCAGATGAGTTTTGAAACTAAATCCTTCCTTAATGTGAGATTTAACATAAATTAAATTTTCAACGTCCTTCTGATTCCTCAAAAATACATGCTGTGCCTATTCAGTACAGAATAAAAATGAGTAAAAAAGACGCATTTGTTAGAAAATTCAGACATCTTATTTCACTCTCTGAGTAATACTCCTGCCATCTTTTCTGATTTTCATCATAATTTGTAAAGCTATTTTAACTCTGTCCTTTTACAGTTTTTCCCTTGACAAGTATTTGTGCCATCTTTTCCTTCCATTTTTGAACATCTTCTTCTACTGATGTTGAAGGCACTGCATTATCCACTTGTACACTACTGTTTTTTATTTTTTGTATAAATAATTCTAGCTTTTGTTTTGGGAAGTTTCCTTTATTTAAATTCATGCTTTAAATTCATTCACCTCAGGCTGATTCAGAAGGTATGCTCCACCTTCCTGAATCTGGGGAAAGAGCAGTGCCAGGCAGGCAGTGCTGGGGGCAATGGAGGCCAGAGCTGTCCTTTGTGTGCCATGGGATAGTCCTTTCTTTATGCAGGAACTAAACTCATTCAAATTGATTCTAAATGTAACTTTTCCACTTCTAGGCTATGTGGTAATGCCCTCTGACAAACCCCGGAGAACAGGGGCACTACTTTGTGTCCCACTTGGGTAGAGTCCTGTCAGCAGAAAGAGCAAATCGTTCTCACTTCCATGTCTCTGGAGGCCAAGGGCAGGGGGGCGAGGAGGGAGGCAATCAGCATTTCTGAGAATCAAGTTACTTGAATTTAAAAAACTGAATACCAACCTAGTTTCACATGTTACGGCTTGAATGCTCTGCTTTACAATATATTTGTTACTCTCTTAAGTCTTATGCTAACTAGGTGTGTTGTAATAAATAACTTAGGATATTTTTCTGGGTTTCATTTTCGTTCTTCATCATTTTGTTGTCAGTTTAGATGAAGCCATGATTTGAAAAAAATACAGTTAAACCACTTAAGTAATCCATATCAGTTATGCCTCTAAAGATTTTTTCTATTTTTTTGGCTGAACAGATTTAAATTTCCTACTTGTTTATCTAAAAATTGGAAAAATACTATTGGAGAAATTTTTAATATCATACTTTTTTTTTTAATTTAAATAAATGGCATATTGAAATAAATGTTGATAGTTATGAATCAAGGCTATCCAGTAGCTGACACTTTGTTCTATGTTTTACCTCCTCACAATAAGATCCAGCATTCTGGTTTTCCTCTTCATTTACACTGAATTTTTTGTTTAGAAATATCAGATTTTAATAGCATTTATGGTGTTTTCTTCCCATGTTCTTTGTTTCAGTTTTACGCTTCTGAGGTAAAATCCTTCAAGTTGTAATGAGGAATCCATACCCTTTTCTATCAGTTTTGAGTTCTGATGGTCTCAGATATTTTAAAAGTTGCACATTTTTTTAATAGTTCCACAAGCCAGCACAATTAATAAGTCACCCTTGTTCACAGTGATGTTAAATTTACTCTAACCTTCCATCACTGAGAAATCAGAATTTTCTTATTTTTACCCTCTTTATTCACTTTTGATGAAAATGAGTATGATATTGTCCTTTCTCATATTTAATAAGTGAATAATGCACAGTATTTATCACTCAGCAGAGCCATAAGAATTTCAATAGATTCTTACCTGTAATTCTGCTTTTCATTTCCTATGTGAAATCTGTCATACTGTGAATATGCCCGGTTTCCTTCCCAGTCCATTAATTCAATTCTTAGAGAATATTGCCTCTGACTTGTTATTGCAAAGATAAATTCATTTCCCAGCCAATGTTCACCTGATGGGCTACCAAAACCCTAGAAAAAATTGGCAAAATAACTACATGTAATTATTGTAACTGGTAGAACCTTTACACAAATACAAAATCATCATTATATTTTACCTATACATTCTAGTTACTGGTCACAGCTTTCTATGCTCCAGTTTGTCTGTCTTTAAAATTAGTTTACTAATACATACCATGAAGAAGTGTCATGCAGTTCAACTGATATTTGAAAAGACAGTTGAGGTTATCAGTTGAAAATCACTTTCCAATTACAAGATATTAAAAGTAAGATGCTGTATTTGCACATTCTTCAATGGGAATACCGGATATAGTCATGTTCTATAATACATTTTATATGATGTTAAAATCAATTATCATTAAGACAATTAAGTCCAAACAGAATTATGCTATGCACTATAAAAGGATAAAGACTTTAAATTAGCTCAGATGATACAATGAATTCAAATTAGCTGTGGGTGAGAAGTCATGTTTTAATCTCTGAAGAGAAAATGGACCATTCCTTTGTTATTGAACGTCTGCCACAACTGAAGGAGTTTTTAGTTTAAAATCCTCTTCTGTATTTAAGATGTGCTGGCAAGGACGATGTTTACGAGTGATACTCAGCTGTAACGTTTATTTACTTCTCTCTTGATCCATAAGCTCATACTTGCTACTATAAATTTGGTGTTATTTCTTACCCTGCTGAGGTGGAATAAGATACCAATATTTCTTTCGATGCTTTGAAACTTAAAGGGTTAGGAGTATTTCTTTAGACTATCCAAAGCACAGGAGAGGGTACTGATTTTTTTTCTAAGAATGAAAAATAAACAGCAGTAGAATACTTAAGGTATCTAGCTCTCCTCGTATTTCAAATACTCAGATGATCTAAGTAAAATATACAGTTTTCAAACATAAAAAATAATAATAAAAAGCATAAATACTTTTCAAAATGTATTACTAGACCTATATTTTTGTACATTTTCCAGGTTTTAAATTTTTTTTAATTTTAATGATTATTTTACTCCATTAAATTTAAGGTTTTAATTAATGTAAACTATTTTTCTTTAGAAATTATTAATTCACACCTGAGAATTCGCAGCTCTGATTTTGTTCTCTTTAAATATTAAAAAATATTTTAATATTTAGTCTTTACTTGTAAAGAACTATTTCAGCATGACTATGCTGATTTATATTTCTTAAGAGAGGAAAAGCAGGAACTGGAAATCTGACTTGCTTACAGTGATGTGCTGATAGTGTTTCAGAAGACTCTTGTGAAAATTTCCTGATCAAGTTAAATGATGGATTGGATGATTTTCTTGCCTGTGATACAAACTTACCCTCTGTTACTAAGCTATGACTGCCAGAGATAGAAGTGAAATTAACAATAAAGAAATTCTCGGTTTGGAATAGAGTATATTGTATCAAATATTTTCCTTTATCATTCATAACACCCAGGACCTGGGTGTTCGAATCGACAGTCGACTGAATATGAGGCAGCAGTGTGCCCAGGTGGCCAAGAAGGCCAACGGCATCCTGGCTTGTATTAGAAATTTTGTGACCAGCAGAAGAAGGGAGGTGATTGTCCCTCTGTACTCAGCACTGGTGAGGCTGCACCTTGAGTATTGTGTTCAGTTTTGGTCACTTCAGTGTAAGACAGATATCGAGGTGTCGGAGCGAGTGCAGAGGAGGGCAACAAAGCTGGTGAAGGGCCTGGAGAACAGACCTTATGAGGAGCGATTGAGGGAGCTGGGTCTGTTCAGTTTGACGAAGAGGAGGCTGAGGGGGAATCTCATCATGCTCTACAATTACTTGAAAGGACATTATAGAGAGGTTGGTGCTGGTCTCTTCTCACAGGTAATTAGGGACAGAATCAGGGGGAATGGTTGCAAGTTGCAACAGGGCGAGTTTAGGCTGGACGTTAGGAAGAAATTCTTCAAGGAAAGAGGGGTCAGACCCGCCTAGGGAGGTGGTTGAGTCACCATCCCTGGATGTGTTCAAGTGTCATTTAGATGGAGTGTTGGGTGATATGGTTTAGGGGTGACCTTGTAGTGTAAGGTCAATGGTTGGACTTGATGATCCCAAGGGTCTTTTCCAACCTGAATTGTTCTATGACTCTATGATTATAGAAAGTTGCTTTCCCTCTGCACACCCACCATGGTATTTAACAGACAATATTTACTCTCATTTTCACATCAGAAATTAAACCATGTGGTCTGCCACTGACTGAGTCAGTGTAATTTTAAGGAATAGGTATGAATATCTCCAGAAATAACATATTTTTTTTAAAGGGAGGTAAAATTAAGACACTAGAAGTTAGGCAGTGGGAAATGTCTATCTGAGACACATTAGCAAGAAATGAATCTTCTCCATGTGATGTTTCAGTCACTCCTAGTGTAACATGGACATGCTGAATGTACGTCTCTCTCTCTCTTGTTCTTTATTGCATTGCCCTGGCTCCAGGCCTGACTAGCTGGATCTACTGAGGATGAAATCCTGCCTCCTCAGAGACCATACAGCAGCTGCGTGAAGGTGCAGCAGAGCTAATACGTCACTCAAGCAATGCATAGTTATACCACCTCCAAACTTCTAAAGAAACTTATCAAATTTTAAAGCTGAGAAGTTTATGACTGAATCAAAAAAATAAAATAAAATGGAGGAATTTGTTTTGTGGTTCCTACAGGGAATTACCTTAGAAAGCACTCTACCCTGGAATAATTTTTGGTTTAACTTCTGTTTTGGCGCTGATACCAAAGGCTGAGAAGACAGGTCACATTTGACTACACTGAGCTGAGTGCACTAGTTTATGTTTCAAATAAGCACGTCTGTCTTTTTGGCTCAGAGACCACCAAGTGATACCCATGGACGAAGTATTAAGTCTGCAAGAATTTCAGTTTAGTAGTCTGTGATGAGCCTCAGAGAAGACTCGAACTGTTCTTTGGCTTTTCCTTTCCTGCACATTATTTCATTATATCCTCTTTATCAAGTAAATTACTTCCAATGACCACATCATTCTTCAAGTGGGAGCTCCTGCTCCTCAAGCTTTCCCATGATGATGCTTCTGTATCTCTCACCTACTGCTCTGACCACATTTGTGTGTATACATATTTCCTCAAACACAAAAACTTGTTCCTCACCTGCATAAACCCTCCCTACAGCTGACTTTCTGTATGTTCCTTTGGTCCTTTCCATCTCCTTGCCTTGTCTCCTGCCCTATGACTGTCACACATGGTCTCTCCTCTTCTACCACCTTTGGGAGTGTCATACCAGACCAGTCAGTGGTTTGTCTCTGACATCGTTTTTCACCACTGGTCATTGACACTTGTCTCAGAGGGAGGGAAAGTACGCTCTGCAGTGACTGACTAACAGGCAGTTGGTCTCCCTAAAATCCAAAAGGCAGAATAGGTGTTTATATGCCAGACAAAGTACATTTCTTTGCAGTCTACATATTTTTTTTTATTCACAGATATTTTATTATGGTTATCAACTGTCTCCCTTTTAAAGAAGATTTTCAGGAAATCTTCTCACTTTTTCACAGCGCTGGCAAGCTGAGAGAACTCCCCTTTGAACTGTGGCTCTTTTGAATTATATTTGTCTTATCTTATTTAGATTACAGCCTACTCAGGATGCAATACATGTGGCTTTTTTAACATTATGTCTTCCCATATGTGTTCTATATAAACTCCAGACACCATATATAATTATTATGAAATAATAATTTTTCTTCTTCACATTTACACTTCCTTCTCCCTTTTCACACATGTTATTACACTAAGATGAAAATCTATCACTTAGTGGTTTGCTCTTCTGACCAGAGGAAATGAAGTTGCAACAAAGGGGAACAGAAGGAATATAAAAGGGAATATAAAAAATATGAGCAAAGCCACCACGTTAGTTACAAAAAACCAAATTCTATTATAAGGAGCTAAAATACTGAAACACACAAATACTTAGAATGATTCATTTTTTCTTTTTTTTTTTTTTGACAAGAGCAACTTCTTTTTATACAAGCTCCTTGCTCTTATGAGAAGAAAACCAAGGAAGTAAGTGGAATGTAAAACATCTCTCTGAAGCAAAGAATATTCCTAACGACAAGTACTGTATTTTATTAAACACCTAATATGTCTGGGAAAAGAAATAAACAAACAAACAGGCACTCAAACTTTCATAGATCTAGACCAGAGTGGGCCAGTATGTTTCTGTTAAGCACAGAATTGGGAACAATTTCTTCAAGTATAATTTTATTATGCCAAACTCAACTGTTCCAACCTGTATTTAGCCTGCAGTTTACAGCCTCATTTCAGACCTGAAGAAAGACTTGTGTGCTTGTTGGATTTTCCAGGTACTTTGGCTGACTTACTTAATAACTACATAGCTTTCCTTGTTTATATCTTACTTAGACTGTCCCTGCTACAAGAACAATACTGTTTCTACAAGATATATAAGCTTTAGTGTGCAGAAGAGCATGACATATTATAAGCCAAAAAAAAAAAAAAGCTTAAACATATGATTTAACTTTTCATTTCCATTCCCAAACCTGAGGCTGGCAAAGAAACCTATTATGCCAGGTTCTTTTGACTTACCTTCAACATCTTTAGCCTTTAAAGTACATTTCAGAATTTTACGTTCAAATAAACCTTTTTTTTTTTCCCTTCAGCCAGAAAAATTAAGGAAATAAGCTCGTGAAATTGTTATGCCCACCTGTCCTTTATTTTTGTGCAATACTTTTTGAACAGTTTTGAGGTTGGGACAGAAATCACAGAAACTTGAAGTTCAGCAAGGTTTCAGGAGAACTGGTGTCTGGGATGAGTTGCTGCTGGGAGAAATGCTGAAGTAGAAGCTCAGCACTTTGCCTATCAGCAGGCGCAGACCAGCCAGCCAAGCACAGATGCTGAGCGTGTTCTGCCTTGGAGGACCCTTAGACATCTGGGAGAGATTTGAGGGATGTAAAAGGAGAACTCAAGATATTTCCATGGAGAATCTTAGAAAAATAACAGTGATTCAGGGGATTATTAGAAATAAGAATAGGACTTC